TTTTCAGGCACTTCTCGGTTAGATTTCTCGTATATGCGAACCACAGCTCTTATGGTTTCGAATCGTCGCATATGGATCGGAACCGGCACCGGCGTGGTGATCTCGGTTCCACTGAGTGATAGTACGTTTTGCTCACATTTTTGTTTATACCCTCATTTGCCATCTCGGTAAAAAGTCCACACTTAGGTATGGAGCAAAAAGTAGAAACTTCAGATGCTAGAAAAGGTTCAAACGGTCCTGGTGGACTGGTGCGAGTCATCAAAGACAAGCAAGACGTGGGTGTCAACTCCTTTGTTACCTTTGTTGATTTTTTTCAATATCGTTTTTTCATTTGGGCAATGTGTTGTGTTGTTTCGGGAAATGGAAGATGTGTTTTCCGTGAAACAAAATCATTTTTAGGATTCTTCGAGCTCTAGTTCATCTGGAGGAGCGTTCATACCATATTGTAATCTTTCCCAAGCTCAGCTATCATTCCATGGACACAAGGACAGTGTAAAGTTCTTCATAGCTGTGCCAGGTACCACATATGTGACGAAAATGTTGGAAAGGTGTGAAAAACAGCTGACTGTCACTGTAGGAGCTCCTCGGTCGTATGAAGAGGATCAGGAAGCCGAATTAAGAAAGATGCTTGTAATCTCAGGAGGAGACGGTTACATTGACTTCCGGATAGGTAACTGATTGATTTCGATGTTATGCCATTATGGTATGCGCCAGTTTAATCCGCTCCGCTTGATCCACTTCATCCATCTCCTGTTGGTCAGTTCACTGGATTGATCAATGACAAAGGGGATCAAGCGGATCAAGCGTGGCGTGTGTCTATATCATGGGCCTATAATATTATTGTCTCACTTTCTGAAATTTTTTCTCGTTTTTCTCAAATATTTTGCGATCGTGTAATTCTGAAAATTTGAAATGAGGATCAGCGGCAGTTGCCTATGAATTTTTATAAGTTTAATTTGATAATCCAAGTCAAAGGATCTATATGATCATTCAGTGATTGAAATATTCGCGTAATAATCCAATAAATCAAGAAGGTCTTTTCCTCTCTTATCACAAGTCATCCTCGTTTTTGCTGGCAAGATCTCTATGAAAAATCTTAAAGGTTTGGTATCGCCAAAAATCAGTTTTTTCTCTTAATCACCTTCCTAATTTTTTTTGATTGAGTATTCAATCATACTTCGCAGCGATCAAAGTTTGACAATCATCTTTTCCTTTGTTTGCGTAATCGCCTAATGCTATCTTTCCAGGTGAAGAGAACGAACCGCCGATTGTTACAAAAGGTGTTCGCGCGCGCGACATGTCTCATCTTATCATCTGGGAAATGGACGCCGAATTACCTATCGTTACCAAGTAATCTCTCGCTTAGCCAACCCTACTTGTTTATTTTCGCTTCTTCTGATAAGCGAAATATGGTAAAATCGATCGCATCGATTTTGAATTTCTTGCTAGTCAACGTATGCCTCATTACTAGCTCTTCTTTCCTACTTGGACTTCCCATAATGCAACTTAAGCAACTTATTCTTGTAGATTTGTTATCATGTTTTACCTTCTTATACACCAAATTGTTCTGATTCTTTCTATCTGTGAAATCCCAATCTCCACTTTTGCATTTTGATAATTTTATGAAAAA